CTCTATACAACGAAAGGAGACTGCGACCACACAAAAGGCCACACCATCTTGGTCTTCATACCTGCGAAAACTATAGCCAATATAGGCTTGTTTTGTCAACAATCCCACCATAGAGTGCGAAATTCACATCTGCCCTACGACCCAAGGGTGCTCGTGGCAGTGTGGCATAGTTGGTAACGTGCCGAGACTATACGCTGGTCTACTCATGTGACAGTTCCTCTGGGGATGCTGAGGCCACTTTGGTGAGGTGGATGAGAATAACTTTTGGAAAGCAATGGAAACGTAAGGCCCACTCATTCTACTATTCGAGTAATTCAACTACCTGTCCTTAATAGCTTTGAAAAATTGGTTGAACACGTCTCATATGCATGATCTACTGGTAGTCTCGAAAGCCTGCTTCTAAACAGCAAATAGGCATTGCCGTGGAGTCTTTTATTTAGAATGAAGAAGAGCTTCGAAGATCGATCCCACCAGAAGAAGACGGCCAATTTTCATTTGACTACAGCCGTTTGGCTCAAATACGACTTTGAGGTTGACATAGTCGACGAGACATCCTCCCTTGTTTCGGGTAAAAATGGGCTTAGTTTTCGTCCGGCAAATGATGGGCATCATCAGAGCTGGAGCTAATTATTGTAAAAGTCTCTTATTAACACGAGATAAAGAAGAAATTTGATCATGAGCTTCACTTGTCGTCATGACGTACTAAACCTGTCGGCCAACTATGTGAAAATCCACCGACTCCATCATCCAGTGTTGGAAATTATCCAGACTAATATGGAAGATGACGCCGGACAAAGTGTACAAGTGGTGACAAAGTAGTAAAACCACATATACTCAACCAAAGGATACTGTGATCAATCGAAAGAGCACATATTGTTTGCATTCACAATTCATAAAAACTTGGGTCACCCCAGGTCACTTAATGCGATGAAGGACTAGACGATATGCGGCAGAAGTAACATCCAAGACAGGTAGATCCTCGCCCGAATCACATGAATAGGGTGGTCCTCAATTAAGCCAGCATGTGTTTGACGCCACACTCGACGGGGCTATTTTTCAATATAAGTATCTCTTGAGATTTCCAGCTATTCATGAATAATGAAATAATTGATAATACTATAAATTTTCGGCTTTCAGTACTTATTGAATAAAATCTCTAAATTCCGTGGCAAACAAATGTTTGCTTAATCGACACTTCCAATTTACAAATGCGAGTTGGTAGAGGACTGGCTTGCCTTGAATGTCGCATCTGCCCTCGACCCACTGGCTCCCGCGCCCGGCTAGTGGAGTACAGTTCTACCATTGCCATGATACTCACGATCCAGACTTGGATCTTGACTGAAATTACATGGTACCATGAGGCCTAGTTATCTTGTTGTGGAAAAACTCCATTATCAGTCCTTGAATCAGCTCATTCGGTCTAGGCTGACTAAGCTCTTAGTTGTGATTAGTACAAAACTGGGAAAAGACTCCCACAGCCCGGTTGTCTGTCGCACGCACTCGTGCCGCCATCATTATGAGGACACCTTTTGACGATCTCGAGCGGATGCGAATCGCGAGCTCAGCCATATTGGACGGCACCCTCAAGGGAAGGGGGTCAAGTGGGCAGATCTCGGTCAGCGGTACAGCACCGGCAGATCGTGACTCGAGTAGAGACGGAAAAATTGGGTGAGTGAACAGTCGCAGATTCTCGGTTGACCGGTCACCGTCACGA